GCGTGATTCTGTGTTGACGTCCACCTGCAGTTGGTCAGAGGCGTAGATGCAGAGCTGGCTGAAGAGCTGGTTTATCCAGAGCTGGAATTCTGTCAGTTGAGTAATATGAGCAGAATCAGGGAATTCACGGATCAGGTTGTTGGAGATGGTTACAGGGAGTAGGTTGGTGGTGCTTGAAATTTGGAGAAATACTTAGGTGATCAAAGCTCTGCTGGCATATAGTTTTCTAGTGTTCAGAACAGACAAGTGAATCTACACACCTGCAGAGCCACAAGGTAATGCTACAGCAAGGACTTTGTGTCTTCCAAGTGTGAGAAGGCACCAGTGAGCGGAAGAAAGATCCAAAATTGACTGGATTTGAGATCAGTTTCTTCTCCTTTTATTGATGTTTGGACAAGAAACATAGGACTGGAAGTCTTGAATCAATGCACTAATTTTGAATTTTATTTCTGAATCCTATCTGGAACAGTAAGTATAATAATATAATGGCAGCCAACTAATATGAGTGCAACTCTTCCTCAGAATGAATCTTGTGATCACCAGAATATTGTTCTGAATTGATTTTTGCCTTTAATTTTGATGCTGGATAATGTCAATGAAACTGTTGAATTATCTCATGAAGGATGATATCAAACCATTGACAGGAGAGGAAACCAGTTTTGGTGGAGTATTTTGTACACATATATGCCAAGAGCGTTATATTCATTATTGCCCATTTCTGTAATTCTGAAAATTATTGTTATCATCTCCATTTTTGCAGTTGAAGACCTGACATTCAGTGTCTGATTTCAGATCCCGGCTTCTGTCTGTGGCACCACACTGCCTCCTCCTGTCCAGTGCAGGCTTAATCTTTGGTGTGTAACTACTATAATCCCTGGCTCTTCTTTCTCCAAACAAATCCTAATCACAGGTTGAGAATGCTCCCATTCTGACAGAATTATAGTCTTAAATCAAGAAACTTGTAATAATTTAAGGGGGCAAAATTATTTCTTTGTTGTCTTTTGTTCCTGGTACTGAGGACTTGGAACTCTTATTCAAATAATCAGTCTCAGTCAGTGGTACCTGGTACCTTATTTATAATAATACAAAGGGGAAAATTACAGCCAAGAAATCCATTTTGTTGATTATCCATTATCCATATGTGTTCTAAAATAGAGGGCCTGAATTTCTGCCCATTTATATTGTGTACAGTATTTTCAAACAGACTCCAAAACTGCCAAGGTAATTACAGTGTGAGATCTCCTGTGCCAAATAGTTATGGAACATTCTTGCCAATAATTGAGTCAAAAAAAATTCCTGCAGAATGAAAAATCACAGTCAAAATAGCAACCTTCTCCTTGTAGAAGCAAATGGTTTTCTTTAGAGAGGAAACAACAGATGAAATATGAGTAATTATTCCATGTCCTCTCTTTGGCCGAGGGTATAATTGTTTACCTAAGCTTTTTTCTTATAGATTAGAATCTTGTGTTGCAGTCCAGTAGATTGATTTAACTGCCTCTTTGACTTCCTTTTATTTTTAAGATTAAGCAGTCCATGACAAAGAGGTTAATTGCAACTCCATAGAGCTAAACTAATGTTTTATTAAGAAGGAGTTGGCATCCTGCTCTTTTAGGAGAACAAATGTTCTCATAATGCCATGACCAACTTACAGAGCAAGTATTAGGCTCTTCCTATTCAGCTGTCTCTTCACATTACCCTATATCGACCAGATCTAAGTAACATTAGCGAACTTTGCTGAATAATCAGACACCAGTTAGGTCTCTGTAAAGGTGAGATCAGCGAATGTATCACCGGAAAAGTTAGAACTGCTGACGCTTGTTTTTTCTCTGACCTAGGCCGTGTGGCTGCTCCACTTTTTCCAAAGTTTCACTGTACAGTAAGAAAGAGATCAAATGAACTAATTCATCTGATAACACAGGCCATCTTTCCAGACTTGTTCAAGAGCCCAAAGAAATAGGTATAAGGAAATTTAGTGTGGCATTAATGGTGACAGTGAAAAATCTAGAAACTTCTTCAGTCTGATTGAGTGGAGCAGATGCGTGATCAGGAAACAGTAAATACTGAATTCTCAGAGGTGGTGAGAATCAGGTCCCCTAGTGGGCTGGTCTGCGGATAGCAGAGAGAGAAGGCCAAGCTGAAGGGTCAGTGCTTCTCACGGTGCCTGTGTTTGTTTAATAGAGTATTTGGCAGGGATCTGTGCTGATAGTAAGTAAGCAGCAAGGGGTCAGTATCTTGAGAAAAATGCTGTTTGGCAGGAGGGACTATGAGAAGGCCTTAACCAGAGACAAATACAAAGATTACTGAGTGCTTGCTTTGATTTACATGTGAAATAAAATGGTCCTTGGCTTTGGATGGGTACTTTATCTTCTAGGGCATTTTAATTGCAAAACTCATAAATGATTTCTCGATTTTACACCTGCCTTTGGCTTCAATTTCCCTAGGAAGAAAGAATTCTTTCCAAGTCTTTTCTCTTAAATTCTTCTCTTCCAGGATGTCTGAGTCAGGTCTACCTTTGCCACCACCTTCCTTTTTTCTGCTGGAAGTCCCTCTGTTCTCTTTCTGAAGGTAGAATTATAGTCTTCAACAATTCCAGAGCTCCCTCTCCACCTTCTCCAGCCTAAAGCCCCCAGGCTAGAGTTGCATGGCATTAGCCTAGCTCATAGTAAACTCAAATCCCTAGGTTCAAGTGACCCTCCTGCCTCAGCTTCCCAAGAAGCTGGGTCTATAAGCACCTGCCCAGTAGAGACAAGTGTCTCACTGTTGCTCAGTCTGGTCTCAAACTCCTAAGTTCAAGCGATTCTCTCAACTTGGCCTCCCAAAGTGCTAGGATTACAGGTGTGAGCCATCATACTTGGCCTTAATTTTAGTTTTGAATTTACTCTTTATTTAATTTGCTACTGGTTTTAATAAGGCTGGAATAAGGAAGTGGCAGGAGAGATGGATGCAGAGCAAATCTGCTGAGTCAGAAATAAACAGCCGTCATGCAGTGTTGACCTGAAGGTGTCAGGTAACACTGAGGCTGTTAAAGGTTTAAAACAGGGGCAAGGCACGGTGGGATATGTGTTTTAGAAAGATCTTAGCAAGTAAAGTGGATGTAATCTTTAGAGTGCTGCCACACAACTCAGGCAAAAGAGGATATGTTATCTGACACAGTAAGGATGCAGAGAGGAGATTCATTCCCGTTGATACTTATTGATAAGTTGTAATCTATAAGGCTTTGAAGTGAGTGTGTAAATAATAGTGAGAAGAGGATGGTGAATTTCAAGTTTCTGATTTGGGCAATTAGAAATATCACAGGGCCATTTTATGGAATACATGAATGATTCAGGGTTGGGGATGAGAGAGGAAAGTGATGAGATTAATTTTGGACATGTTGAGTCTTAGATGCCTGTAGAGAATCTTAGTAAGATATGACCAGTGTCTGACTGGACACACGGGTTTGGAGCTCAAAAGAAGGGTCTAAGCTGGTTGTAGAGATTGCATGGTTGTTTTGACATTGTCATTGACCTTGAGTGTATAGAGAGTTGGTGGTGTATCTGGGGGCTTTTGGTTTCCTTAGCACATTGCTCAGGGTAAGCTTCAGGGTTGTGTAAGACTTTTTTTGTTTGTTTTAGTTATTAGGATGAGGTCCATTCATGAGGAAGAAATGAGGACCTTCTGCCAACTGATGCCAGTTTACTTCATTTCCAATGTAATTATTGAACACAGGGAGCTGGTGGGACAATGCAAAGCTTAAACGAAACCAGAATTTACCTGGAGAGTTGCGAAGTCTGCCGTCACCGGCACTGTATGATTTGAAGGATAATTGGCTGCATACACCCCAGATTTCTTTCTTCCTCTTCTGTCTTTCACCAGGCTATTATAGCCATTCCTTTGGACAACTGGGTATTTTTCATTTTAGAGAGTTGTTTGGTAAATATTCCAGTGAAAGGTAATAATGTAGAAATTATCAAGTAGTTTTGGCAAAGTCTTTCATGTATCAGAGCTTTTGAGATGCCTTGAGAAAGGGTAATTGAGACGGGAGGATCCAAGTATGATTGGTTTTGTTCTGTTTGTTCACATCTCATTGACATTTCCTTGAAATTAATGATTTTAATAATGGCAATTTGAGGCTCCAGAAGAAATTTATTACCCATTAAATTCACATTTCCTTTCCCTAGCAGCTATTGTTCCTTCAGAAAACATTATTAAGAATTCTAGATATTCCAAAAATAATTTTTAGATATCACTGCAGTTTTTAATAAGCAAGACATAACATTTTGCTCTGTTTCAAGGAAGATGGAAGCGTATGGTATGAATCAATGTGAGTTTTATTGAAATTTGGGGTTATTCTTTCATGTGTGTATATCTACCTACACATACACACATAGTGGGACTATTTTTATTAGGGCAATTCTAGGTGCTCTAACAACCCCCAACTTTCAGTGGGGTCACACAGTAGAAGCATATTTCTTGCTCACATAATGGTCCAAGGCAAGTGACCCTGTTTGGCATGTGGCATTTTTCCACATAGGGATTCAGTAGCTTTGCTGTCGTCTAGGGCCTTGTTGTTATTTCCATCCATCTGGAAGGAGGGAGAGAGTGTGGAGCAGTCACACTTGCTTCCCAAGCTGAGGCACGGCAGTGACACACATCTCTTATGTTCGATTGGTGAGAACTGGGGCGTGGGCCACACCTAGAGGCAAGGAATGATGGGAAATGTATTTCTGGTTGGGCACCTGTTTCCCACTAACAAGCTCATACACTGCCAAGGGGAGCACAGAATCTTTTGGACAGCCACTCGCTTTGGCTACGGGGAGCAAAACAAAAGCTCATATATCAGAATTGCTCATTATTTTATGGCCACACTTCAAATATATGATGATGTCTGCTTAGAGTTGAGACTTAGCCTTCCTTCTGGATGTTGTATGGCTACTAAGATCCTTAGACTATTAGTAAGAATGTTGAATTCCTTATTCATTATGTATGAAAAACTGAGACTTTCTTTCTTTATTTTTAAGGTTGGACGAAATTTGCTCGATTGACACGGGCTTTGACAAATAGCCGGAGCGTTTTGCAGCAGCTCACACCAATGAATAAGACAGAGGTGGTCCACAAACACTCGAGATTAGCCGAAGTAAGTGTGAGCCTGACTTGGCTTCCTGAGATGGTGGTGTTGGTACATTCTTTTTTTCCAAAAATGATTTAATATACATATTTCTGGCTATCATTTTACAAATATTTAGGCAATAACTTATTTTTCCCTTGTAGAAATATAGAAATCCCAAGTATTTATTTTTATCCTCTCCCACTTTTAAAATGGGAATGTAGTTCATGACACCCCAGGTGATGAGTGGAGAGATGATGTTTCCATTGAACTAATGAGGTTGGAGTTCGTTCATTCCTTCATTTATATGCATTTATATATCCCCTTTTGGGGAGTTACTCTGTGCTCGGCACGTGCAAAAGACGCAAAGGTGAATAAGAAATAGGCCCTGTCGTCAAGGAACTAAATATTCAGCAGAGGAAACCAATCGTAGGTTGTAAAAATGCAATGGCTCGGTTCAGTGGGAACTAATTAATGCAGGAGCATTTATCAGGACTTGGGGCCCTGGGGAAGCCTGCTTGAGCGAGGTAATACCTGGGCCAAGTGAACCTGGAAGGAAAAATATAAGAGTTAGGCAGGTGAAAAAAGGGTGGAGGTCATTCCTATCAGGAAGGGCAGCATGTACAGAGGCTCAGAGATGAGAGAATGAGGTGACTCTGAGTGTGACTTCAGTGTGGTTGAATTCAGGTGGGGAAGGATGTGTTAGGTGGTGTATAGGGAGATGATGGTGGTTGGTGTCTCATGTGCTGGGCAATTGACATGGTCGCATTTGTGCCTTAGAAAAACCTGTGAGAGGGGAGATTGGTCCTAACTGGTTTCTTGTGTAATCTTGTGTTTATATTATATGAATTTGAAGTATTTTCCTGAGAAGAGGTCCATAGCTTTTACCAGATTGCCAAAAGGGTCTAAGGCACAAAATGAAGAACTTGTTTGAAATATAGAGTGTCTCAAAGGTTGCCATACACAGGAAAATCAACAAACTCATATTATGTCATATGTTTTCAATACTTTTTATATTTATATATCAACATATAGAAAAGTATTTTGTAATGAATGTTTTATAAATACAGTACATTTAGGTACAGTTTCCCATTTTCCCTGTGTATGTAATGTATGTCGACCTTTGGGACATGCTGTAGTGCCTTGAGGAGAACGGGTATGTCGGAAACCAAAGGGAGACTTTATGTCTTTTGTGTTTACCTGGATGGGGGTGAAGAACGTTCTTCTTAGTCAAGTATCACAGGAATGGAAAAGCAAGTGTCCAATGGATGCAGCACTAATGTGAAACCCGTAGATAAACAACTGCGCCCCCATGTTAGAGAAAAACAATTAAATTCAAGTGGGAGGGGGAGGGAGAGCAGGGAAGGGGGAAATGGGGGGGGAGGGATTGGTGTGCTCGTACTCAGTGGGTGCAAGGTGAGGGTATACAGCACACACCAGGTGAAGGGCTCAACTCCAGCCTGAACTTTACCTAGCAGACAGTGTACCTAATCTTTGCACCCTCATATTAATCTGAAATTTAGAACAAAAAAGGAGTCCTTGTAGTAATTTAGCTAGAATGACAGTGGCCTTAGGGTAAACTGCAGACATACCAAGATTGGAGTCAACACACTGGTTGATAGATTAGAACAGAGTGTGAAACAAGGGGAGGAGGGCTTTGGGTTTAGACAGCTGGGTAGATAGAACGGCCAATATAAAAGGAGAAAAAGAAGATTTGGGGGCAAACGTTGCCCCCAGTGATGTTAGGTTTTGCACGTATCATAGTTGAAGAGACTGATAGGAAATCCCAGTGGCGATCCCTAAAAGATGTGGGATTTTTAGTTAGACACTGAGGAGGGATATTTGGGTCTGGGTTGTAAACCTCAGCTTCATCCTCATGGCTGTGGCTGTTAAAGCCATAGGCTAGACGATGTTACCTGGAGACCAAATTGAAAAAGATGGAGGACGGAACTTAGAGGCAGCCAAAACCTCCATTGTTCACGTCTTCTGTGACCGGCATTTGCATTACTGAAAGATGGTGTGAAAGATGCCAAAATCCAGTAGCTACTGAAGTGTGCTGAGCACTTGGTGGGCGCTCACAAAATACTCTGAGACAACTTACGGAAACCGAGGAAGATAAAACAGCAAATCTGTATGCTTGTCAATGTGCACTGCTGGAGAAAAGCAAAGTGAAGCAGCCCAGAGTTACTCTCCTAACTACTCAGTGAATATTAGATCTGGTTTGGAAAGGATTAGGAAAGCAAGCACCCCAAATCTGGAGAACTCTGGAGTTGTAAGACCACAGTTGACAAAGGAAGTTGTTATAGTTTTCTGCTCTAAATAGCACTGTTAGCTTGGGGAAAGATTAATACTCCGATGTACAGACATGTTTCTCAAAACAAAAATAAGACGTCAGCATTGTTAAGCATTAACTGATTAGAAAGATGATATTTTAAGATATAATGTAGAGCTAGCATTAACGTTTTAAGTGGACAGCAGCTACAGCGTCCGTAAGGCTTGACTTCGGGCTCGCTTCTCTTCTGATTTGAATCGTCTGTTTCTAGATCGTACACAAATCAAGCTGAAGTGTCAGAGCCTGTTTCTGTGACTGTTGACTTTTATAGTCGTGATTTCTTCTTAACTATCCTTAATTCAGAGTTTTTCTTTTCTGAGCTTTACAAGAGGAAGGGGCCACAGAGAGGAGATCGCTCTGCCCTGGGTACCCTGATCGTTCAGGTTGTTTTCTCTGCGTCCAGGGGATGTTTCCTTAGCTTTGAAGATGTTTACATTTCATCAGTTTTATTTTTTATAGAACTTGCGTTCTTGTTTCTTCCCATCTCATTTTTTCCCTTTGCTTTCCCTATTACTAGTCTCTTTATCAGTTATCTCCAATTCATAAACTTGATTCCAATGCAAAATTGCTTTCTGTCAGATCTGAGGTTCGATTTCAGAGAACTTGCAGGAATAACGAGGTCTCCACAGACGTGTAGGCTGCGTACCTGCCGTGTGTGCGCTGAGCAGGGACAGTCCCACCAGGAGCACTGGCTAAGCACTAGAATCCTGTTTCTTCACTTACGTACGTGATCTGCTCAACTCAAGTACCTTATGTTGCGGTTGGATTTTGGGCTCTCTCACTTTCTCCAAGATGCATAAATTTGATCTCAATTCTCCATCCCCTAAATTTAAAGTCGATCCCTCAAATTTGGACCTGATCTCCAGTTTCAAAGGTTCCAGTCAGCTAATTAATTTTCCACATGTGCCGACATCTTGCTGTTGCCCACAGCTTGCTCACTTTCATGCCCAGTGGAGATAAATGTACCCACTGCTGCCCTGTTAGTCAGTGGGTCTGACCTTCTTCGAGTAGACATCTCATCTTCAGAGAGAAAAAAAATGTGTCCGTATTGGTACAAAAATACATTAGAAGATATGATTTCATCCTCCCTCCACCTGAGGCTTATTGCTTATGAAATGGCAAATGAAATACCAATGAAGTGGAGAGTCGTTACTCACTGCTGTGTAGAAAGCCCAGTGAACAGCTGAGATTAAAGAGCACTTTGCGTGTGAGGAAGACAAAGCCCAAACACTGTGCACCCCTTTTTGGGTTTTGCTGTCACCCCGCCCCTCCTCCTCTTCTGCATCTTTTCCTCATGGAGCATTTTTGATGCAAGTCCCTGTCTCAAGACTTGGGTCCCAAATGTCCCCAAATGTCTGAGGAAATATAAGCCAAGGATCTCACCTTGGCTGTGCACTGTGATCGCTGGAAGGCTTTGAAAATACAATTCTCTGAGAGCCAGAGATCCCTTTGCTCATTCTCTGGGGTGGAGTCTGGATGTCGGTATATGGCATGTTTTAAAACATCCCCAGGGGATTCTAATGGGTACCCTGAACTCAGGGGTAACCCCATTCTGTCTCTAGAGGAGAAGGCTTGCTTCGTTCAGGGTACCCAGCAGAGCCAACCGAACCCTTAGCAGGGTAGACATGGTGTCCGAGGGCCACAGTACCTTTAGGGGCCCACAAAATGTTTCAGTTTCTACTAACAGCAGAAGAAAATAATGAACTTTTAGGTAAAAATAAAAAAGGAATGTGTGATATTAATGCTGTTGTAAAATATAATTTTTATAGCAGTGCTATCATAAAATATAATTCTTATTTACTTTTTTAATAGGCAGGAGGGGTCCAGGAGGCCAACAGGCTTATCACCCATGAAGGTGACATTATACCCTGGCACTGAGTTCTGATTTCCCAAATCTCATTTCTTTGTAGTTATACTATAGACTGTGCAGCTATAGATGGAAAAATACTAACATCGAATACGAAGGGAATTTTTGTGTTTAACACAGTGAAATCAGAATTGATGGGCCAGTGTTTGAAAAGTGACAGAAAAGTCATAATTATGTACATCTCTCTCTCTCTGTGTAATACTCTGTCCCAGTGTGAAGCTTATATTCCTGGTAGGATAATTTACTCTCAAGTAATGTAAGACCTTGTAGGAAAAATATGCCTAGGGTAATCGTAGTGTGGGTAGGTACATAAAATATCTTTATTAGTTCTTATAACCCCCATAATACAAATAGTAATTTTTAACATTAATAAAGAGAATACTAGTAATGATTTTCATGGTGTAAATAGTCGTAATGGATATTAGATACTTCGTTTTCCGTGCACATGTATTTCTAGGTGTGAGAGATACTTCAGGACACTCTCCCAGGTTTGATAGAAGCCTGAGTATTTAGCATATTTTTTTTCCTAAAAGGAATTTACTGGGCAGGAAACACAATATTCTTTAATAAAGTCTCGATTTAAGAAAGAAAAGGCAAAAGCTGGCTATAACATTTGCTGTGCTGTGTATACTGCTGTGCCGTCGTCAGGGTCCTTGCTGAGTGTATCACTCACCAGCAGGGTCACCCCAGCGGGGTGCTGGGGTTCAGTGAGGCCATCAGAATGGAAGTTATATTTCCCAAGTTATATTTACCAAATACATGTGAGGAATTAATGACAGTGAGTCACCCAAACAGTTGTTGTATACTCCAGGAAAGGCATGATATAGGTGGGCTTGCAGAGGGAGTGAACAGGAGGCACTGCCCAAAGAGCATGTTTGGCATTGCTGGGGTCAGCGCTGGTCACCACGACAGAGCAAGCCAGCTAGGATGGCAGATGGACCAACCGACTCAGTGGCTGGACGTGGAGTGCCAGCTAGGACGGCAGACGGACCAACTGATGCAGTGGCTGGACGTGGAGTGCCAGCTAGGATGGCAGATGGACCACCTGACATAGTGGCTGGATGTGGAGTGCCAGCTAGGATGGCAGACGGACCAACTGTCATAGTGGCTGGACGTGGACTGCCAGCTAGGACGGCAGACGGACCAACTGACGCAGTGGCTGGACATGGAGTGACATCCTTTGAACAAACTTTGGGACAACTTAAGAGGAAGCCAGAACTATGGAGCATGGTTGGCTTTGAACCTAAGTCATGATAACTAGGCTGTGGCTTGACTGCTGGTAAGTCTGAATTCCTGGGTGCCTGTGTGGGATGTCCAGGTCGCTGACTCCTGTACTTTCTCTATTTCAGGTTCTTCAGCTGGGGTCGGATATCCTTCCTCAGTACAAACAAGAAGCGCCAAAGACGCCACCGCACATTATTTTACACTATTGTGCTTTTAAAACCACTTGGGATTGGGTGATTTTAATCCTTACCTTCTACACCGCCATCATGGTTCCTTACAATGTTTCCTTCAAGACGAAGCAGAACAACATAGCCTGGCTGGTGCTGGACAGCGTGGTGGACGTTATTTTTCTGGTCGATATCGTTTTAAATTTCCACACGACTTTTGTGGGGCCTGGCGGAGAGGTCATTTCCGACCCCAAGCTCATAAGGATGAACTATCTGAAAACGTGGTTTGTGATTGATCTGCTTTCTTGTTTACCTTATGACATCATCAATGCCTTTGAAAACGTGGATGAGGTAAGATTTCTCATATTGTTCTTTAGAGTACTGTGGATCATGAGTTTGGGTGACAGATAATCCAAGCTTCTTTCCAGCTGCCACTTTCAACTGTCCCCTGCGAAGCACTGGCCGCTAGTTATCATATCGGAGGGCCTTAGATTAAGTTTTGTCTATTTCTTTTCCTTGCTGTCTGGTTGAAGAGGGTGTGGTTGGAGGAGCAGAGAAGCTTCCAGAGTCAAATGCAGCTGTGACTCAATACTCTATTGAGAGATGATGAAATAGATTGTATTTCCTTTGAAAAACTGCAGAGTTTAAAAACCCTGTTCATCCATAGAGCTTTGGACTCTTCTCCTCCTGATACACTGACAGCAGTGCAGGAGTTAACATAAAGATGAGAAAACTCTTCTGGAAGAGCAGTTCTTAAATTATCACCACTTTGGTGTCTTCCTTTTAAGCTTTTGTGTTAGATTTTGTCTGAGTGTGTTTGTGGGTAGAAACTGGATTGAATGACTCTGATGTTGGATTGGATTCAGAATTCTGCTCCTTGCTTGTTACCTGTGCGATAGAAACCCTGACACTGTGCAGTGTATTTAGAGGACCGTTCCTGGTCTCTAAGTTAATGATGGGTGATTTTCAAGTTGCTACGTTAGGCTAATAGGATGCAACCACTCATTTTAACAAATACTATATAAATGAGTCAAGATAGGGCATCTCTATTATGAAAATGTGTTCACAGTGATAATGTTACTAAGTTAATTTTCCTAAACACTCTACTC